GGGTTGCTCTGCGCAGATTCAGTCCTGCATATTTTTTTGGAGGTTTGATACTTCTGTTTACTTCATTGTCCTGGGTGCCAGATGTTTAAATTTCTGTACAAACCTAGCAGAAAGAAACTATTGTCCAAGCTCTCTCACTGCAACATCATTTTAGAAATACATTTATTATTACTGTATTATCACACCATATCAGTACAATTGTTCTTATTTGTAATGATCTTAAAGTGCCTGTGGCGTAATTTTTTTTGTTATAAATATGAATGCAATTTTGGAAAGAAAACGGATCAAATATTGCAACAGAAATTTCACACCGCTGAGATGAACAGCTGTTGAGATATTTGCATGTGAGGTAACAGGAAGTGACGTCAAAGGGGAATGTCTGCATGTAAACAGAGCGTTACAACGACAGCGCACACTGTGGAGAAGAATCTGATTTTTAGATTATTTTGAGTCACTATTAGAGAGAGACAAAGTARAGTCAGAGTTCAAACAATACTGTTTCAATAAACAAAAACCAGGGAGTTTCCTTTCTTAAAGAGTTCCCCTTTGATGTCACTTCCTGTTTCACTTTGACTGAGCCAAGTTCTAAAGAAAACATTCCAGTCATGTGATAAAATGGGTAAAATTGTGTGTATTATGCTAAGTTTACTAAGTAAGGYTGTTTTCTTTGACTTTTTGTATTGGGAAGATATGCATGTCACAGGCACTTTAAGGTGGATTGCACTTTAAGATGCATTAACGTTTTCACAGTAAGGAAAAAGGACAACAGTGCATTCTGTGTTTGAACTCCACAGCAGCAATCACTGACAAATGAAAGCTCTTGATACTCCGACAAAGTACAAAATAGCATCTGTGTTGTTGGATAAAAGTTAAACCAACTACATTTTTACCAGGAGAATAAGGAGTATCGTTAAATCTCTCGTGTTTCTCAGGCCAGAAAAGCAAAAACTCGTGTCAATTTCATGTCAAATTTCTAATAAAATCCCAAAAAAATGGGACAGAAACAGCCGAGTAGTTTGCTTGTGATTTCAGTGCCTGGTCAATGTGCAACAGCCATAAACAGCAAGTATAAATCCTCCACACGCTGCACGCTACATCTGGGGAAAGTGAAGGCTGTAGGCCATTTTGTGAAGGTCACTGTGAAAAATGGGATGAAGATGAAGAGGTGGCTGGAGAAAGAGAATGATGCACATCCAGACACTTTTTTTTCCTCCTCGGTGAGTGGGAGAGACCAAAAGAGAGTGAGAGAGAGACCATCATCCCCCACAGTTCACACTCACTCACTGGAATGAACTCACTAATGACTACATTTATTCAAATTAGACTAATTGTAATCATGGTTAATAATTAGCTTTACAGTGCATTATAATTGGGTTAGGCTACAAGATGGTTCTGCCTAGGTGCAATAATTTATTTGATTTAATTATTCTGAGGAACCCAACGGTTTGACATCTCATATCATAAAACCAGCCGTGTAGAGAGAATGGAGATGGCTGTTGTCTTTAGAGAAGGTCATAGCTCGCTCTCTGGGAAAATTATGAGAACTATTTTCCACTCTATTAAGCCACTCCACTTAGCACAATTAGCCACACACACAAAGGTTAAAGAGAGGGACCCCTTCCTTTATGACAGAGAGGAGTGGTGCATGCACATGAGARGCTCAGCAGGAGCCAGGATACCAAGCAAGTCGCCACAATCTCCATCCTTCAGCATGGCTTTCTTGTTTATTAGAATATAATCATTTGTATATACAAGGCTAAAAAAGGAAACGCCAAGTCAAATACTCTTAAATACCACATTCAAAAGAAAATYAGGAACACAATGTGGAAAAAAGAGCCAGAAAAGGTCCAACACACAAACAGTCGGGGCAGTACCACAAACATTTAGCAAAGGAAACACATGGTCTCCTTACAGTTTAAAACACTAACTTGTGCATATTCCATATGCAGCTCCTGATATTTTACATCACTGGCTAAAATATTATTTATTTATAATTAATKAAGACAACATTGCATACATGCTCCTGCTCAGGATTCACATAATTCCTGTCCCTTTCGGTTTAAAGCTGCCAAATTCATTTATAGGCTTCCATTATGAATCTTGGTTTGCTCTGTTGTAACKGCAACACTTAATTTTATTGTTTTTTTTAAATAACTCATTTGAATTCATTCAGCAGGACCATAATTGTAGTCAGTATTTCACTTTAAAAAAAACTCCAGCTGAATGAAATAAACTACCAACCAATTTAGTTTTTTCCTATCAGTGAAACACAGAAGAATTTGAGTGAAAGAATATTTTAACTAAATTCAATATTTACACACAGAAAAATAGAAAAAATATGCACAAAACAGCTAAATGTTCCACTAAATCTGAAACCTGATTGTGCTGTTACTTCATTAATTGTAAAAGAAAATAATAAAAATAAAGAAGCAGCTATTTCTGTTTCCATTGTCAGACCTGAGACATTAATTAGGTTTTTTTTTCTTCTAAACATAACCACCGTTCAGTCACAAGTCCAGGTGAAAACTCGACCCCAGGCGTCACCGGCCAGCAGCGTTGCATGAGTCCTGCACAGAGGACGATAAAATGCGTTCCGGTGTGAAACATGCAGTAATCTAAATAAAATGCAATGGATGAGATTTTTATTCAAAYGTAATTAAATCTTTAACTAGTTTAATTAAACTAAACTGAATTTCTGCGTGTTATTCGGTGTACCTGGACATGCCCAGGGAGGTGACRGCCGGCCTGGTTTTGTGTCGGCGCTGCGACGAGCTCCGGCCTCGGCTCAGCTCCTGACACAACATCAGACGTCTCCTCCAGCGGTTCCTCTGACACGAGCCGCTCACTGTGGGAACACACGCACTCACTACAAGATAACAAGTAAGCTTTACTTTGTGAAACCCGATGGTCCTCACATAATTATATTGCGCATTAACACAGTGTCCGTCTGCAGTCAGCGGGCAGTAAAAAAGGCAGAAAAAAAATCTCTCAAATAGAAATGCTTCAGGGTTATGTAAAGACTTGTCTCAATGTAATTGGAAAGCATAATACTCCTATGAGGTGACGTGAGGCTGTAACCAACGTATGCTAAATTGGATCTGGGTATTATTGCTTTCTAAATTATACAAACACACACGCACGCACATACACACGTCAGCAGAATTATTCATCAGTGTTTACTGCCTCTATGCTTAATAACTTTACAACATCATTTCTGCTAGCTCTAATGCTAGTGAGCGATAGGGTGAGGATTGCACACCCTCATTAGAGGAGGACACTGCCCAGCGCGGAGATGAGACTTTAAAAATGATCATTTTACAGGTAAAAACTGATCGAATTTAAAAGAAGTGGGATTTTTTTTAACATTAAATTTAAAGATTGCGTCTTTTTTCCCACAATTGCTTCTCAATTGGTTTCAAAGTTTTGTTTTTGTCAGCTCCCTGCATTATCTCTGTTGTWATAAACACAATATCCATGCACATATCTTATCCTAGAGCCAGTAACATTACCGTCTCGCTGTATTTGGTCTTGCCCTGGGGACACGGGCTCTTCTGGAGGGCCAGGTAATTGTGTTCTGGTGTACTCTGTCCTCCATATCTGTATGAGAGACACATAACGAGTGGCAAAATTATAGACATAATTCAACATAATAACAAGCGCACACATCTGCACGCACCTACCGCACACTGTCAGTGTAATAATAAAGTAACGATTTCACATGTGTGTGTGTGTGTGTGTGTGTGTTGTACTTGTGGCATGGACACCCACTCCCAAGTGAAGCACAATTTAGAGTTTACAGCTTTGATTGCAAAGAGGCAGCATATGCTTATATGAATCCTGAACAAAAACAGTCAAATAAAACACGCACACGRTACTCGTATCTTGTTAATAATATCKTCAATGGACAGTCAACCTGCGAAGCTAATACAAAAGTAATGACTATCATWGTGGTACTGTATAAAAGCTGTGCAAAAACATCCCGATTACTGCATGGCTGCAGAACTCACCCGTATAAACCCATCAGCGCAGCCGGTGACGATAACATTCCTGGCATCCCACTCATGTCGCTGTGTGAAGCTGACACACAGGATGCYGGCCTGGGGCCCGCAAGAAGTATCAGTACAAGTCAAGAGCTGGCCCTTCATGGTCCACAGGTACAGCAGAGGTCCTGCACATGATGCAATCTCACCCTTGGAAAGAAGAGCAAAGTGCGGACGCTCAAACTSTGCAGTGAGCTGAGTGAAGGGGAAGAATATGATGACAAAAAGGCTAAAGTTTTAARTGAAATATACACCAGCTTACAGTGAGCTCATTGATAGCCAGTGCAGAGATGCTGGTTGTGTGTCCTGCCAACTGAGTGACGTAACTCAGCTCCTCTAAATCCCACAAGATGCAGGTGAGGTCGCGAGAGCCRCTCACGATCAAACTGTGGACCTCGGACACAGCCAGGCACGTCACTGCGTCTGTGTGACCATATAAAGGCTGTGGGAAACCAGCAGAATGAGTGTCAGGATGTGTGTGTGTGTTTGAATAAATACAGATTATGAGGTGCTGTCACGTGCAAACAGACTCACCTGTTTGAGTTTCATGTGAGAGAGTTTGTCCTTGYTGACCGCCACGTCCCAAACACAAACTACGGTGCTGGTTCCCGCAGTGATGACAGTTGTTGGGTTGGGGCAAGCGGCGCACAAAGTCTCACCCCACTCACTTAAACTCTCACTCACTGCAATGTTCTAGTTATGCGCGCACACACACACACACACACACACACACACACAATCACACACACACACACACACACACACACACAC